GGCTACCACCAATGACCGCCCTGACAAGGAACACAACAGAGAGTCCCTGAAAGAGTGGCAGAAAAGTGTGGAGCAGAACTCAAATTCATGAAAAAGACCAGACTTCACGGTCTAACTGAGACAGGAGGAGCCTCCGAAGCCAAAGCCCCCGGATGCTCTGTTAACCCAGAACTAACACCGTTCCTGAAGCCTACTCTTCAGACAAAGATTAGACTGGACTATAAAACATAAAATAATACTTGTAAAGAATGTGCTTCTTAGTTCAAGCAGATACATAAGATCAAATGGGCAACTCCTGTCTGCAGGCAGGATGAGAAGGCAGAAAGGGACAGGAGCTGGTTGGATGGACATGGGAAACCCACATTATAGGGATTGCAACTAGTGTCACATAACAATATGTGTATAAATTTTTGTATGAGAAATTAACTTGAGCTGTAAACTTTCACCTAAAGCAACAATGAAGAAAAGATAGCCAAGAAAACCCTATGGGGCAGTTCTGCTCTGTCACGTGAGGTTGCCATGAGTTGGAATCTACTTGACAGCACCTAACAGCAACAACAAATGAGTTAATGCCTATAAGGCATTTAAGGTGGTACCCGCTGGCCGATAATAAATGTTAGCTGCCATTTCTTGTTATTGTCGCTGTTGTCAAGTAGGCCAGCTTGAGAAGCATAGCCTCAGGGGAAGTAAGAAGGATTGGAAGGGCATGGGGGCCATGGGAGAGAGGCTCAATAAATGGCAGCTGTCGTCATTATTATTATTTTATCATTGGCAGAGCCAGGTTGAGGATCATATAAATCACCGTCAGTTCTGTGTGTCTGAAATACTTTTAAATAAATCTCTGCTTCCCACCCTCCCCCTGCCATTTGGCCTAGTTTGCTTTTCACAGGACATGTGCCTTTAAGGGGAACTGGAAGGGGCCCCATTATGCCTAGAAGAGGAGGGAGGTGTGAGAAGTAGGCCTTGCCAGACACACTTGTGGCCCCTTCTGGAGGCAAGGGCCAGGTCTGTTTGGCTCTGTGCTAACCACACACTTGTAACTTGGCCCTCACTGCTGAAGGAAGAAGTGAATATTTGTTCCCAGGAAGCCAGCTCAGCCTTCAGGCCACCCCTGAGGAGTTTGTGGGGTGAGGCAACCACAACAGCAAACTTATTAGCACCCGGGAGGGATTGGGGTGTGAAGCCCTGTCCTGACTCTGAGGATCTCCCAGGTTGCCAACTGGGCCTTAGGAAATGAAAATTGCCACATGGGAAAGCTTTCTAAGTACTAAAATGTAAACAACCACTTTGATCTTTTTTAGAAGAATTCGTCCAGAAGATCTTTGCCCTACTCCAAGATGCTGAGGAGCAGGGGGCAGAGAAGGTGAGGACATTCCGCATGCAGACCCTGACCCTCACTATGAACATCCCCACCCCTGCCTGGCCTAAGACCTTCCCTGCTCCCCCACTCCCACCCCCATCCTACCATTTCTACATCTTGCCAAAGCTTGGCTCCTGTCCCTCTTCCTTCCTGAAGCTTCCCTGACCACCACAGACCGTACCTCTTTCCCCAGCTCTGAGCATCAATTGTTCTTCTGTCTGGGCCACACCCCACACCCTCTAGCCCTCAGTGGGTCTGCTGTTCAGGGGATGCTGGTCTCTCTTCCTAGTTTATCTGCAATCTCCTCAAGGTCAGGTGTCCTGACTCAGTTTCTCTCATCTCCCCCACAGAGACTTCAAACCCAGCAGCCAGAGGTGGCTGTAAAAAACCCAGCCCCCATCTTCAGAAAGAAATCCCAAGAGAAAAAGTCCAGCTTCAGGAGAGCCTTTTCTCATAAGAAAAATGGCTCCAAGGAGGCCAAGAGAGTGGGAGCTGCAGATTTTTCCAGCCCAGAGGCCCGGACACCCAAGAGGCCCAGCTTTCTGCCCCTGTGTGTTGGTGACCATTGGCCCTCCATTCCCTACCTTGGTGAGCAGGCTTGGCATTGCCATGCAACACGGAGGCTGCCTCTGGTTCTAGAGGCTTTCTCTAGGGCAAGGGTTGGTCAACTGTGTGTTGCATTCAGTCTTGACTCGCTTTCTACTCTGAGCAGTGTGGGGAGGTATGGGAGGGCTGTATAGGAGAGGGTAGGGGCTAGTTGCCAGCAGGACCCACCATCCACACACTTAAATATGATATCAGATCAGTGGTTATTAATTAGAATTAATAGATTAATCAGATTAATCAGAATTAATCCGGTTATTTATCAGAATAACCTGGAAAGCTAATAAAAAAATACGGAGACCCAGGATAGGATAGGGCCTGGACCTCTGTTTTTTAGTACCTCAAAGCGTGAGGGCCGCTGTATACAATGATTCCCCTGACATTTATAGAGTGCCTATGGTATGCCACTTTCACATACGTTATCTCATTTAATCCACTCACAACACTAAGAGGTCAATCTTATTACCCCCATTTGACAGATGGAGAAAGTGAGGTTCAGACAGGCTGACTCTGCAAAGTCTCACAGAGTAAAAGCGGGGTGGGGTTCACTTTGTGGGACCTGTTGGCTTGACTGTTTTCCCAAGTGCCCAACTCCCAGACTGTGAGGAGGCAGAGGGGTTTGGTGGAAAAAAGAAGAATTCGATTTCTGGAGAGGGCAGAGAATACTGTGATCTCCTCCAAGGCTGGTCCAAGGAGGCAGGACATTCATTGAGGAGCCTGGTAAACCAGGACCCCTCTCTGGCCAGGGCCTTCTAACAGTTTCTTGTCAGAACCCGTATTCAGCTGTGTGTTTGTGGATTTGAGACAGATGTAAAACACACTCACACTAATTCCTTTTCTCCCTCAGACTCAGAAGATGTCAAGTTCCAGAAGCCTTCACCTGCAGAAAGGGGACCAGTTGGCTCCCCAGAACTGCCCTCCCAGACCAGAAGCCACAAACCAGAAGGGGAACCTCAGCTGGAAGGAGCTTGTGAATCTAGTTAGTACTACCCTTGCTCTCACCTGGGACAGCCCCCCTGAGGGATTCTCATTTGCATGGATTTTCACAGGCTGAATCCAAGGGAGGGCTTGGGAAAGCAGCTGACCAGTACCCCAGGAAACTCTAGAACGGGGGTGGGCAGAGACTTGGCCTTTGAACTGGAGCTTTTGTTGGCACGGTTGCCAGTGGAGAGTCTTTTCCACGTAGAGAACACCTGACTATTCTTGGGCTGTAACTTGACCCCCAGCCCCCATCCCACTCCCATCTATTGGTTTGATTGAATTTTTTCATATAAAATTCCTGGCTTGTTCTATATTTCATAACCAGTGGTATGCTGGGAAACAAGCTCTATAGGAAAAAAAAAAAAAAAGTCCTGATTTGTAGCATTTGCAGATGTCTGTGCTTTAAATATTCCCACCATGGCCTATTTCAAGCTGCCAATAGTTTAACAACTGGTTCATAGAATTCCTGAATATTTACAATCAAGTATAATCAGGCTGCACTCACCACCCAGGGCAATGGTGTGTTCCTGCTACACCAGGAGCCATGGCATTTCCCCTTCCTGCATTCTGATTTGCTGCTCCTGGTCCCAACTGGATAAGGTGTCAGTTTCTCCACCTGTCAAGTGGAAACCAATGTAGTTACGGGTGGGGCCTGGCAGATAAACCCAAAGACCCATCCTATTTCTATATAGCAAACCCAAACGAAACTCTCATGTCCCAACCCTAGTTTAGGAGAAGATTTTTCTTTGCCTTTCGCAACTCATCTGTGGGCTGTGGTTCAGAGATAAAATACTTTTTTTGATCTATAGATGTGTCATTGCAGAACTTTATTGTGGGGAGGGAATTAGGGAGACTCCAGTCAACGGCCCCTCAATCCTTCTTTATTTTTCTTAGAAGAGCAGATCATCCAGAAGCTGGTGGCTCTTCTTCAAAAAGTGGATGGCCAGTTGGGGAAGCAGGTAAGGGCCACTCAGACCTCCCCAGGTCGACCCTGGGAACCTCATCAACCTACAACTGACACCTGAGTTAAATGCCCATCTCTGCATCTCTGGGTGACCTTGACCTGTACCTTAACCTCTCTGAGCCTCAGTTTCTTCTTTCTTCGCAAAATGGGGGATAGATACCTACCTGGCAAATTTTATAGCCAATTTTATGTATAGAAAATGCCAGACATGTAGCAGATGAGATAGATGTTAGTTTAAAATAATATAATGCTCCTGTGACTCCCCCTGCCAGCAAGGTCCTCCCCAATCCAAGTCCTCTGTGAAGTTCAGCTCGTGCCCCACCTTCTCTGGAAACCTCCTTCTGCCTATAAGTCTGGCCTCCCAGCCCTCTGATCGCATTCTCTGCTGTCCCCTTTTCACCTTCTTTCTTGGCCACACGTTTTTATTTACTTGGTTTCCAGTTCTTTCAAGTTTGTAGATTTTCCTCCCCTGCTAGCTAGCCTGTAAGAGAAGACTCCCTGCCCTTGAAGAACTCAAACTCCTTGGTGAAACAAACATAAATGATGCCTGAAGAGGTGTCCGGAATGAACTCAGGTCATAGATGAATAATTGGTGTTGGTGCCTCTCCTTACCAGTACTGCACACCAGCCCAACTTCCAACTGCCAACACCTGCCTCTTATTGCCCGAGGACTGGCTTCCAAAGGCATTTTGCCCCCTACATGGTAGGCTGGAATTAACACTATCCCTTCTCCCCAAGAGTAGCCCTCAAGCAATGGCTGATGGGAGTTGGTGTATAAATACCCCAACTCCCTTGCCCCTTGGGAGGGATAACTCTGAGAAGTGTATTCTACACTGGCTCCCTGAATTCCCTGATTGGATTAAGCTCCAGTTGCCACCCTGGGTGGGCTGCTTTCTCATCCTTGTCCTACGTCTCTGTGCCCTCATCAATGTTTCCTGGGACCACTTTCCAAATAAACTACCTGCACCCAAGTCCTTCACTTAGGTCTGCTTCTGAAGAAACCTAACCTAAGACGGTTAAGTATTAAGAGCAGGGAGCTTGCTGGAGGAGGCTGAGGGTAGGAACTAACGTTCATCTAACATCTACTCTGTGCCGAAGAGTTTTACATAAACTGTCTCACTTAACCCGACCCACCACCAACCCCGGGTGGCGCAAACGGTTAAGCAATTGGCCACTAACCAAAAGGTTGGTGGTTCACACCTACTCAGAGGCTCCCAGAAGACAGGTCTAGCGATGTACGTCAGAGAAATCAGCCATTGAAAACCCTACGGAGCACAGTTCTACTTGACACACATGGGGTGGCCATGAGTTGACTCAGCCAGCAACCCTAGGGGGCTATAACTCTTCCCATTTTACGGAATGACAGAGGCTCAGAGAGGTCACACCGCTATGAAATGTGATTTATGCATTAGTTATCTGAACCCAGACACTGGTATTTGTTTCACTTTGCCCTGCTGCTCTAAGCTGGACCTTGCAGAACACAGTCTGAGAGGCTAGGAGTGGTGGAGGAATTTAACAAGGGGAGCTCATTCCGGGACAATAAGGCACCCAGCCTGGCTGCATGGAGTTGGGGGAGGGGCAGCTGGTGGGAGGGGACTACCTGCCAGCAAAGCTGATGGCCTGCCTTCATTTCTGTTTCCAGATCAGGCAACACCCTAGCTTTAAGACGTTTCTTTACAAGCTCTCTGACTCCTCCCTCACGAAGCTGATGGCTACCCTGCAGAGCCGGGAAGCCCACCCCCCTGAGCCCGACAAAGGCCTTGATGAGAGGTGCTACCAGTTTGCTGATAGCTTGGCTAACAAATTTGCTGGCAACAATAGCTACACTGTCCATCTCCTAGGCCACTACAGCTGGCATGTTTACCCCCGGTTTCCAGCCAAGGAGGCCCAGCTGGTGAGTAAGGGCGGGAATGGCGGTGGCAATATGGCACAAGTAACAGGCTCACGGTCGGCCTCAAGTGGGATCTCCTTACTGTCCTCTCCCCTCCCCTTCTTATCCAGAACTTTGAGGGTCCAGCTCAAATGCCACCTCCTCACTGAGGCCTTCTGAGACCATTCTAAACCACAATGATCTTTCTTTTTCAAAACCCTCACTGGCTGTACTTCATAACCACCATCTTCTTTATTTGGCTCCACTCTCGAACACTTTTATACTCTTTGATATCAGTAGGGAGTATTGGATTGGCTACCATCTTAGCTTGCCCTCTGATTATTTCATGAGTTCTGCAGCTTGGCTTCCCAATTCTAGACTATCATAAAAAGTAAATAACAAAGAAAAGTAAGGCCGTATATCAACTAAGGGATGGTTGAGGTAGACAAGAAGGCTCTGTGGGCTATTTAATTCTGAGAGGTTTCCAGAAACTGATCATTCACCAACCTTGCCCTTGGTTGTTTGAAGAATAGCCTTTCCCTGCTATCACCCTCACTATTCTGATTGGTTTTAAGTTTTTCCTAATAATCCCCCTTCCCTTAGAGGCTCTGAGATTTTTCACTTTATAGATAATACTTATCACTGATTAAAAAAAAAAGAAAAGAATTCTTGAGTTTTCATACGTTTTCTGGTGGACTCTGATAAACTGATTCTCCCCCACCCTTTTCAAATTTATTGAAGATAAACTGCTAACAGACGTTTGATTCAGATCAATAATGTAGAAGCTAATGAATGAATGAAAGTGCGACTTTAAGGGAATAAAACATTCTGCTTGTTGGTGTGGAACAAACGTGACAGAACTTCTACATTCAAATGTTCCTCTGGGAAACCAGACATTTACTGTAATGATGTTACCATCACTCAAAAACACTTGCATCTTCCTCTCCTGGAATTATTTTAGAAGCCATTTGATAAGTCTCTTGAGAAAGCCAGTCTTGTTTCATAAGAGCTGTACTTAGTCACTCCAATGCTTTGCTTCACGTTTGCTTGTTTTCCTGGTAGGAAGTCGCGTGACCTCAGACCTCTCTTTTCTCTGCCTAAGTGTTTTCTCCTGGAGAATGGGTCTATTACAGATAATTTTCCTTCTAGGTTGGGTTAGGTAATCACTACGGAGTGATCTGAGTTCTTTGTGAAAGATGTTATAGAAAGATCAGTTCCGACATCGTCAGTAGCCCCAACTCCATCTTCTGGTTTTATTAACCATTCATTCATTCATTTGTCCACTCACTCATTCATTCAACCAATAGTTATTGAGAGCCTCCTATGTGCCTAGGTGTGCAAGGTGCTGTGAGGTCCTGTAGAGGATCTTGCCTTTGAAAACTTCATATGTTAGTGTGAAAGACAAAATGTTTACCAATGACAAAATTCAATAGCGATTAAATGCCAAATGAGCGGTAACTGAGGTCAGCAAAGCAAATTGGTCCTGGAAGGCTTCATGGAAGTGGCAGGCATTGATTTTGACCTTGGAGGATGGAGAGGCTTTAGATGGGGAGAAAGGACCAGGAGAGCACTGTAGGCAGAAGGGATTGCATGAGCAAAGACTCAGAGGTGGGAGTTAGTGTGATATGTTGATGGGATGATATGTCTGTTGTTACCAGAGTGAAGGAAGGTTTAGGGCGAAGCTCTGGCTATGGGGCCAGCTTATAAGGGACCCACTAATAATTGGGCTGTGGCTAAAATTTGTATTCTTTTTCTCCTCCTAGAATATCACAAGTCCTGAGAGCCAAAGTCCAGATTGATTGAAAGCTGTGCCCTGGGCCCAAATTCCCTTGAACCGGCCAATCAATTGGCAGTGTTAGCCAGGAGGAGACCCTGAAGATGCTTCTTAATGCCCCAATCCAGTGCTTCATGGACTTGACTGAAGACAAGAGGGAACAACCATTCTATGTCCATGTACCATTGTGGATTTATTGAGACTGAGAAAGCACAAAGCATTCTTTCGTGAAACTAGATGCAGAAGCTGTGTTGGGGGTAAAGAGCACTGTGAGTTAGACCAGGGCTCCACCTGCTGACCCTGCCACAAACTTGCTGCAAGACCTTGCACATGACCCCTCCTTCTCCAGACCTTGGACTCCAGGCTGAACTAGACGCATCAGACCCCTTATGGCTCTATCATGTGGAAATCTCTTGAAAGAGAGGTAGTGAGTGCCTTCACTCTGTGGCTAAATATATCCCACTGAGCTGAAAGCAATCTTTACGTTCTCACCAAATGAATGAGTGAATGAATCAAGGGGAGATCTCTTGAGATCCATGCAAATCTGCCAGGCATTCCCTGAGAGGCCTTGGTCCTCAGTTGGAATTGTACAACCAGTGGTTGCAACTCTAAGTTGGGGGCTATGGGAGAAATGGGGGCGCTACCTTGACTGGCACTGGGCATGAGCACTGGACCGGGAGTCAGGACCTTTATGTTCTGGGGCCAGTCCTAGTGCTGACTTATGTGTCCTTGGGCCAGTCTCCTGGTTTTTACTTTCATTTAAAAGAGTTACTAAATCCTTAATCTTTTTTGGTCATCATATATTTTCTCGATCCACAGGGGCTAAGAAATATGTCCATTATCATGTGGAAGGCCTGCTGACATTATTCAAGTTGTTAAAAATGGGTCTCAGTTTTAAAAATAAATTTGAATCTTTTCCCAGAATACCTTCCCGCATTTAAACAGATGTGTATCCATGTGCAACACATCATGCAGTTGGTTGGCCAGTAGTTCTTGGTGTCCATGTGGACTGCTAGATACCTCCCAGGGACTCTGCAGGCTCCAGATGGGGGAAATTTATAGATTGGGAACCCTTGGATTAGAGGGTCTCTTGGAATCCCTCTAACCCCGTGCTCTACAAGTCAACCAAAAAAAAAAAAAAAATGGAGCTGATGCCACACATCTCTCCTATCTCAAGGAGTTTGTTAGGAGTCAGTGAGAAAATGGATGTGAGAGCGTTCCACGTATGTTGTTTTTCTTATTGTAACTACAATCTGGGTAGTTTTCAGGAAATGGGAGAGGAGCTCAAGCAGGACCACCATGGATGGTTGCATGGGTGTGCACTGCCCCAAAGCACCTTACTCAAGGAGGTGTTGTTCACATTCTAGACATGGATTTGTAGATTTATGACAGCAATTTTCCAACTGACAGTATAAAATGTCTTGAGGAGAGGACTCCTTTTTGTATTTACAGAAAGGTAAGGTGTGAGTTGAGAGAGGCTCTGCCTTCTACACAGACGAACATCTTCGACAGCTTGGCTCAGATGGGACAATTCACTACCAACGTAGGCACGTTGCCATGTGTCTAAATCTACATGCAAACTTAGCAGGGCAGTGAACAGACATCTGACTCCCTTGGACATTTCCTGAAACACATGGCCATAGGGGAGAGGGTGTTAAAACTTGGATGGCAAACTTTAATACCCTTGGTATAAATTGTATTGCTGTGTTGAGCACCTTGGGGTGGGTTTAGGGAGTGAGAGAAGCCAAAGGCAGAAAGGCCTTGTGTATTTAGATGGGACTGGCTTCCAACCCAAAGCAAGATTTTGGAATGTCCAACCAAACATGTTCTGAAAGTCACTTCGTGTTTATTGCTGCTTCTGGGAAGTGAGGGAGAGAGGAGCTATTTATGGATTTATTTATTTTACGCAGTGTCCAGGAACACAGCACCGAAATGTGAAGGATCACAATAAGTTTTGAAATGAAGGGCAGGAACCTTTTGTACACAGTTTCTTATTTGGAATTATGTTCTTTAAGCTGTATAAGTATTTGGTATGAGTTCCTGATGCTGGCATCTGAGTCTCATTTTTGTACCGTATGATTTGAGCAAATAAAGAAATTGACTTGTACCAAGGTCTGACTTGGATTATTCATGACAGGGGCAAGAAGGGACCCAACTGACATATCTGTCACAATCTGGTGCCTGCATGCAGGGGGTCAGCATCCTTGTCCCTGCCTGGGGCCCTTTCTGGATACTCTTTCACCATCCCATCCTCAGTGTGCTGTGTCCTGGGGCTACTGTTACAAAGAACCACAGATAACTTTGGTGAAGGGTAAGACAGTACACAATACTGGGGAAGCCAGCACAACTTGTCCAAGGCAAGGTCATAGAAGCTCCATAGACACATCCAAACTTCCTGAGGGACCGAATTACTGGGCTGAGGGCTGTGGGGACCATGGTCTCGGGGAACATCTAGCTCAATTGGCATAATATAGTTTATAAAGAAAATGTTCTACATTCTACCTTGGTGAGTAGCATCTGGGGTCTTAAAAGCCTGTAAGCAGCCATGTAAGATACTGCACTGGTCTCACCCCTTCGGGAGCAAGGGAGAATAATGAAAACCAAAGATACAAGGGAAAGATCAGTCCAAAAGAGTAATGGACCACAACTACCACAGCCTCCACCATACTGAGTCCAGCACCACTAGATGGTGCCTGGCTACCACCACTGACTGCTCTGACAGGGATCACAATAGAGGGTCCCGGACAGAGCTGGGGAAAAATGTAGAACAAAATTCTAACTCACAAAAAACAAGACCGGACTTATTGGCCTGACAGAGACTGGAAAATCCCCAAGAGTATGGCCCCCGGACACCCTTTTAGCTCAGTAATGAAGTCACTCCTGAGGTTCACCCTTCAGCTGAAGATTAGACAGGCCCATAAAACAAAACGAGACTAAAGGGGCACACCAGCCCAGGGCAAAGACTAGAAGGCAGGAGGGGACAGGAAAGCTGATAATAGGGAACCCAAGGTCGAGAAGGGAGAGTGTTGACATGTTGTGGGGATGGTAACCAATGTCACGAAACAATAGGTGTTTAATTGTTTTATTGTTTGATGAGAAGCTAATTTGTTCCGTAAACCTTCATCTGCAGTACAAAAAAAAATAAAAATAAAAATAAACAAAAGCAAAGAACCACAGAGTGGGGGGCTTTAAAGAACAGAAATTTATTGTCTCACAGTTCTGGAGGCTAGAAGTCCGAATACTGGGTGTCAGCAGGGCCATGTTCTCTTTGAAGTCTCTAGGAGATGATCCTTTCTTGTCTCTCTCTGCTTCTGGTAACCACAGGCACTTGTCCCCACCGCCTTAGATTGAGGGTAGGCCTCCCTCAACTCATGCCATGGAGGCTTTTACAAGGATACGGCCCATT